ATAAAACCAAAACCTCGAGACTTTCCAGTCTGGAATAGACAAATTACAAAAACTGTATCAAGCTTAAAAATGTTGAACTGCTTACTTTAGGATGCAAAATAATAACGATTTTATCAATGGAACCATATTTTTCAAATATTTTGTAGAGGTGACTTTCTTTAGTGTAAGGATCTAGACCAAATATACCCAGACATTTTCTATTAGTCTTGTCCTAAAATAAAACAATAAGTAATTTTTATTTGAGAAAAAGCGTCGAAAATAGTTTTTTAATAACTTGATAGATGATAAAACGTTTACTACTTACATTGGATCTGTCTTGAGAGCGGCTGTGATTACTGCTTTGGCTATAGCTAGAATACGAAAGTGAACTGGAGCACGAATACGAACGGTTGTGATCACTAGAACGCGGAAGTGATCTGTAGCGCGAATACGCCGTACTGCGGCGATTACTGCGTCGGCGATCAATAGAATACGAACGTGACCTGGAGCGCGAATACGCTGTATTGTAGCGATTACTGCGTCGGCGATCGCTAAAATACGAACGTGACCTGGAACGCAAATGCGACGAACGATTCCTGTAACTGTTGCTTCCGTGGGTGAGCAATGGATACAACGGTATAGGACGTGTATTAAGGTTATCGGTTAATGAATGACCACAAAAGTTACATATTTGCGGGCTGCTATGGTTTTGACTGGAATAGATTGAATGGGATCCAGGATTCACAAATGTTTTCTAAAAATACAATAAAATCAATGGGTAAATAAAGGTATACATGGGTTTTTCAAAGCAAAATGGAGCGGAAGGCTCCGTATGATAATAACAAGTGCAAACAATTGATAATAATTAAAACAATTAAGCGTGACATGAATTAAATTATTTTCAAGACAAAATTCATCCTGAAATCACGAACGGGGCAAGAAAATGGCGCCCACCAAGTGCGTGGCACAACTTCGAAGAAACTAACCTCGTAGATATCCATTGTCGAAGTTCTTCAATTCACGTATCGCCCGTCCACCAGCGCGCAATATGCCAAAAATTCTCGAATAGAGGTAAGAATATCGGTGATGCCGTGGAAAATCGTCAACGTCAACTGCGAAATCGTCGAATGCTATGGCCGTGATGCAGAGGAGTATGAAAACAACAAATAGTAGAATGTAGTCGTGTGAGAGACGCTGATGCAGAAAAAAGAGAATAAGTCAGTTGGTAAGATTAGCAGAAACGTAAGTGCCAAACCACTGTCTCGGCGTCTTAACATCAGTGCAGCCAACATGTATGTTGTGTATAATATAATTTTCCAAGGATCTTACCATCGATATTCAAGCAATGGCGTTATCTGGTTATTTATTATTTTGTTCACTCTCCCAAAAATGTCTTTGTAATCTTCGTATACCCCCGTTTGCTTTTAGTAAGAGTGTGCCGGAGAGATCATTTTTCACGAATAATTTATCATCATCTCACCAAACAAAAATCTGAAAAATAACACTTCTCATAACATATACCTATTATTATTGCTATTTTTTAAGACGAAAAAACCACCCGTCACCCCACGCGACCAATACGCGCCATACCATGTCTGGTACAGGGGCGGGTCCAAGAGAAGCGAAGAGGGCGCACATCCCCCAAATTAAATAAAAAAAGATATTATTGGGCCAAGCTTTTTTTTATCCGATGACTCTTTTTTTTCTTTATGTGCCCCACCTCCTCTTGGAAAATTTCTGGATCCACCTTTGGTCTGTTAATCATAGGTTATTAAACTAAACCGGTCACACAACAGCCGTGACTTAAACGTATATCGATACAACACGATACGTGATACGTATGTTTTCGCCGTTTGAGATAGCGCCAATTATTTTTTATCGTTATTATAACCACAGTTGAGAAACAGACACTTGCTTAGGTCTGTTTTCGTTTCGCTGTCTACAGTTTATCATTGATTATAAAAATGCTATGATAAAAACCGAACAGTTAGCGCCACAAGTACACTAAATATTATTGATCACAGTTATTTTATAATTATACAATTTATCAAATAAATGGCTCAATTTCCTCCATTATTTTCTACGCATAATAATTGAAATCATTGTAGACATCTTCCATCGGTTATTTACATTATTTGACTAACAGTTATGTTATTAGTATTTATTAAACAACACAAGCAACTACGATTTTGTTTTTTAAATCTGCAAGACTGACTGATAGATATTTGTAAACTATCGTTTTTAAATTTCCCATAAAAAAATAAATATCTAGTGAAGTAATATCTGGTGATCTTGTTGGTCATTGAATGGGTCTTATTAATAACACATATAAAACAAAAATTCGTAAAAACATTCAAAAGTTAACCAACAATAAATAATTATAAATGATTTATATGGAGTTCAAAATAGGTGTTGCTATTAAAAAAATATATATTTTTATTGCGCATGCGCATACCAAAATGATAATTTTGAAATTTGTTTATAAATGTGTATTTATATACCACTAGCTTGTAAAAAACTCAATTCATTCCAATTTAATCCAGCCAAGAAATTCAATGTTCCCTTAATTGATGAATACACGGTATTAACTACAATTTATATAATATAATAACAATCAGTTTAGAATAGAAAAATTTTATTTGATAATTAATTATTTTAATAATTTACGTTGTTGAAAATATTCGCAAATTTGTTCTTTCCAAACATTGATTGACACAAAAGATAAAATATATCACGATTTAATAATGTTTACACTTTAACTTTGGATTAGTTTAAGATTTTACATAAATATTCATGTTTATTACTTTTATTTCACTTTGATTACATTTTAATCTTTTAAAACAATACTGTTTGTCTTGTCAAACAATAAAATCAATCCTTGCAACCATAATAATTATGTAGGTATTTGTTTAGAGCACTTGTTAATAATATTGTTTATTACTTACCTTTTGTATTAAGTATTTATAGAGTACAAGTTGAATAAGCATGTTGTACAATCAATATCAATTGAACATGTTCAAACAAAATGATGATATTTGAGATGAAGACATTCTTATGGTATTTGAAAAATCTGAAATCAATTAAAGTTCTACATGAATTTCATATAATATAGATGTGAAAGAATTTATGTGGATATCTTACGTTTTTCAGATATTTTTTTTATTCTTTTCTTAGAAAATAAAAACATTTTCCTTGTTAAGATAAATGCTCTATAAACAACATTTCTATAACATTTATTGTTTTACTTTGATCAGTATGTAAAATAATTAATAGTTATATTGTGCCTATATGTATAGTTAACTTATAGAATCTATAGGCCATAGTACTTATGTGTTTGTCATTTATATGATGGTTATAAATTTTCTTGTTACATAATCACTTTTATGTGGAAGTTGATTCACTAAAAAAAACACAAGCTTTGTGGTGAATTTACACTACATAAACCTTATTTGGTATATTATGTATATTTTTCAATACTAAGACTAAGTTAGTATTCAATAATTTTTTATAGTTTATACTTGTTTAAATTAATTGTGATAAATGTGTCTAGTAGTTAATATAGTAAGTATTGATTTATTTGATTTGTGTTAAATTTTGATAACTATTTAGAATACATACAAATGGAAATAAATGATAAATTATAACAATAATGATCAATAATATAACGTCTCTAACTTTAAGAATCAGATGATAAAACAGAAATGAGTAGTTATGAAAATAAATGCGTCAAACAAAATTGAATAATACGTTTGAATAAATAATTGTATGTTCATTTTAAATCTTAGAAATATTTGTCTACTTAATACATTTTATAATAATAGTTATAATTGTAAGGTTTTTTTTTAAAATTTGAATTGAATTTTTAATTTTGAAAAATTTAGAAGTAAATTAAGAAATGAAAATACTAATAAATGATTTTTACATATATAATTAATTGTCCTTTTTTTATTCTAGAATGATTAGATTTAATTTGTTTCTGATCTGTATTATTTAAATTTATAAACTGTTTCAAAGTATTTTTGTATTTATCCTAATACTGCTGATTACTATCTTTGATATTACTAATTGAAATCATCAAATAATATTCAGAACATTTCATAATTAGTAGTTTATGCTGACTTTTCACTATACATCTATGCCTAATACGTTATACCTAGTATACCTACACACATAGCTTAACAAATTTTTACATTCATAATTTGATATAAGTTTTTATTCTTAAATTTGATTTGCCAGTTAGTATCACCTCGACAGATTTTTATTTTTAGATGACTAACATACCAAATTCAAAATAATAAAAATATAATAGAGTTATTAAGTAATCAGATGTATAATTCTTGTTAAAATTTAAGTACTCTAAGTTAACACAAGACAACTATTTGAAATCTGGTTAAAATTTATATTATATAAACAAAATAAATGAAATAAAATGTTCTTCTGTTACATAATAAATAAAAAATTAACTAAACAATTTATGTTATAAACAATTATATTTTAAATAATACTAAAAAAAAAAAACATCAAAACATTGTATTAAAAAAATTCACTGATAAGTAATATTCATAACAAAAGCCTTTTTATTTATCTTATTAATCATTATTTGTAAATAAAGATAAATTACTTAAATTAAAAATTTTAAACATAAATGTAGGATAAATGCATTAGACTAAAAATATGGATTAATATAACTAATATTGGAAGATTTGAGAATTTAATAATGTTCTTTATACCTACAACAGTTAATATTTTATTGAAGATATTATTTTGATCAGAATTCACAACTTTTATGTACAGGAACACTTTCTAGATTCACATTTAATGTAATATTAACTCCTTTAGCAGTGACAAGGCTTGAGTCTTTAGGTTGGAGAGTCAAAAGTATATGATCAAAAACTCAAAACAAAATTAAATATACTTGAAATGTAACTACTTTTTCAAACTAATAATACAAAAATGAATTAGATAGAAAAATATAAGCAAAAAAAAAAAATATAGTACCTACACTCATATATATGAGTGTATACACACATAAAGTTAATGAGTCATGTCAGAAAATAATATTTTATATTTTATACATCAAATAAGTGTTATTACAACACACCTATCTATGTCATACTTTGTGACATACAATAAAAAAATAATAATAATATTAGTGTAATACTTAATTTTAATTAGTAGGTAATATAAAATATTTTTAATCATTATAGAAGTTATATCAAAATTATTATCAAATACCTATCAGTTTTTGTTAACCGCGTCAAAAATGTTCGTATTTTTAGTGTCATATAAATCATTTAATACATTTGAACTTATTTGGAGACACACCAGTTGAAAAATACAGCATTAAATCAATCTTTCCGTTTCTTGTCTTCGAAAACAAGACAATAATTGTTGAGTCAGTAGTAACACTAGTAACAGTAGTAACTAGATGTGTAATCGCCGCTCAACAGTATTTTATCACAACCAAACGATAACATGAGACGTGACGACGGAAAACATGATAAAACAAAAATATCAACGGCGAGATGTGTTCCACAAGGCAACAATAATCCGCACTAATTTTCAAATTCTCCAAGCATACTGTGCCCAGAAAACCATAAGGTCCTCTCAGATTTATATTTATACTGTATTTGGTTATTTACTGGAATAACCCGCTATGTCACACACCGATTACTCAGGTGTGCGGCCCGCTACTAGTCTATTTGTCTATTCTAAGAATTGAGAATATTATAAGCTATTATGGTACAAACTATAAGTATATAACAAAAATAAAAATACATTTTGACCAACATTAAAACATGATAATATTTAAATAGCCTCACAACAGGCTAGTAATTTCTGTAATAATTGAAGCCTTAATTATAATTAAAAAAATATAACAATAATAATATTTTAAAATTTAATACTATGACGTTTAAATTTGTAAACTAAATACTTAATAAATGTATTATAAAAATTGTATTGCCGTATTACAATTAATAGACAACGTTCCTTTACCACTGTTCGGTGTCCTTTAGATGAATATAGTTTAATTTTTTAAAGTTCAGCCTAACATATTTCCGTTGAGAATACACTTGAATGCATATTCTCATTGATTGCTGAATGAATCAAAAGTTTTTAAGCTCATAAACTTATCGATTCAAGGTTATTTCGAATAACACCAATTGTTACAATAGTTTTGATTTCATCATAACTTTTAAATTTTTCGATTTTCGGTTTTCTTGATAATTCAAGTCATTTACGTTGGATTCAAGTTTTTGTCGATTGTTTGCCATTCGATGCATTGTACTGTACTATTAGTTATTCGCATATTTCTATTTGTTCTATCCTTATATTTTTCTGTATTAATTTGTTTATTTTTGTAAAGTCAAATATCTTATTAAATATTAATTCATAATCAAAATTTGAATGAACTTTTTTACTGAATTTTCATTCAGCACGTAGGCCAACGTTAAAGCATTTTTCAGTAATCCACGACGAACAATTTATTAAACAATCTACTAAAGTTGTTTTGGGATATATTGATAAAATAATAATCTGACGGTTTGTTTAAATTTTATATAGATACAGGAGAGTTATATGAGCAAATAGGTGATAGGTAGGTACTTATGATAAATATCTACATTTTCAAATTGTTGTTTAATCTATGAACCAATTTCAGAAGTTCCATCATAAGATGATTCTAATTCTACGTATCTCAAAGTGATTAAATCCCAATCTGAATTTGAGGTTTTTACATCCCATTAGAATTGTAAGTAAAAATAGTTTAAATATCTTTATAATTATGGTAAGTAGTATTCGCTAAAAGTGTCCAAAAGTATTGGGCATACATTTTTACAAAAATAAACAATCCTTGGAAAATTCTTATGTAGTTTGTTTTATTTTTGTTATTTTGAGTACCTATCTAAATCATATTTTTTTTCTGAGAAAAGTCTGATGAATTTATTGTTTATTCCTTTTTTTTCTTCAAACGAAATTTTATAATTTAGAATCTATTTCTAATACATTTTATGGTCCTTTCCATTTTGGAACTAACAGTTATTGTCCACTTATTTTTAATTAGTCAAATTCGCCATATTGCGAATATTTATAGTATCAGTAACTTTTGTATTGTGTTCAAAATAAAATAACTCTTGTGTAAATATTAATTGAACATTATAATTTTTTTATAAAATCCTGTGTTTAACTTCTAAATTTTAAAAGCAAATAGCTTATAAATATATTTACTACTATAATAGAATAATTTAATATGGCATCTGTACCAGTTACTTGAATATTTCACGACTTGATTTTTTTACGCGTAGATTTGAATAAATTGAATTATAATAATTTTAGCTCAACTGTCAAAAATAATGGTTTCATATTTTCATACTAAAAATATAAATTAATGATATACATATTTTATACGTGGCCACATATTATGATTTGTACATCAGTATATGTATAATACTTATTTTATGATTTCTATAGAATTATTGAAATAAGTATAATCATTACTTTTAAATCTATTTTTTTAAATATAATTTATACCAACGTATACTTAAGGGTTATAGAATCTTTTAAAACAGTGGTCATTAACTGTAATCATTATTGTCATTTGTTAGCCATTAAAACGGTGGGACATTAAAAACTATTCATTCTAACAAATCGCTGTTTAGTATAATTACACGTAGTAGACATAAACATTTTATGGTTAAATCGACAAATAAGTCTATATGAAAATGAAATAAAACTTTAAAGTGTTTAAAAAAAAAAAATAAATAAATAAGTAAATAATATTATAGGTAGCTTATAATACTAATATACTAAAACAATATAACGTATTTATTTTGTTATTAATAATAAGATAATCATTTATTATTATTGTCATTTAATTAGTAGGTACATGTTGGTCATAATTATTATTTTTGAATGAAACAGAAATGGTCTTATATGATCAATGATCTTGTAATACAAATTTAATACATTTTTATTTTTGAATTGGGCAAAACTAACCATGTATTACTATTTCCTGCTAATTTATGCAAGAAAAAT